AGAAAGGCGGCCCTGTCCTTTGACTCCCTGAAGCCCCTCCTATCACAAAGACACATTCTTCTGCTTCTGCTGCCTCATCCGGGCTCTCTGGGGGTTCTTCTCCAGGCTGGCCAACTTGGAGGTCCACACCCACCAGGGTCAGGAACGAGGTCAGCGAGACGATCCTCCACTCACCCAGTTACAGCCCAGCCCCACTGACCCTGGGTCCTGGATATCTGGCCTAAGTCAGCTGGTGCAATGCTACCGCCACCTCCAGTCAACTGCGGTTCTAGATCCACTCCCAGCTCCAACACTCACTTGGTATGTCACCTCTGGCACGCAGCCTGGCCTCCCTGAGACTGTCCCTCACCTGGAAAGTGCCATGGAAACCACACCTGCCTCACAGGGTCTCCTGAGGACTGTCATATACCTGTCACCATTGTTCTGACCATAACCCCTCTAAGAATCAAGCACAAGCACCCTCAGTTTCCTTTCCTCTCTTGAACCTCGCTTCTACTCTGTGAGGCCGGCACAGCCTGATCACCATCCCTACATTTTCCAGATGAGGAAACAGAGGCCCATAGAGGGCACTGACTTGCTCAGGGCCCCCCAGGAGAGCCTGGCTCCACCCCACACCCAGCACCACCACTGACCAGGGTCCCACCTTCTGGTCTCTCTATGCTTAGCCATGTCCCCAACAGAGCCCAGCTATGCAGGAAGTGGGACAGGGTGTCTTGGGAGGCCTAGTTGAGTGGTTTCTGCCCGTCCCAGCCTCACTGGAATGGAATCTCTGCCCACAAACAGAGTGTGAGGCCATTTTAAAGGCTTCATGAGTCTAATGATGGAAGTTTGCACAGAATTGACTCTTCCTCCATTCAGAATGTGGTGACCTAAAGTTGCCATCTCTGACTGATAAGCCAGGGTCTTCTCAGAGTAACTGGTGGTGACACTTTGCTTCCTCATTTACATGGAAGGTTTTGAGGTCTGGTCAGGAAGGACCCACTAGGAATGCATGAGTCCCCCATGTCCTTCTCACAAGCCATCTGGAGCACATGTCACTGCTAACTGGGCTCTGGGCTCAGCATCCTGTGACTATGTTGATTTGCAGTGTCTGCAAAGGAGCAGAGTGGGAGTTGCAGCAAACACGTGTCTGTCCTATGTACACCCACTGGATGGAACCCCCTGTCTCACAGGGTTCCTCTGCCATCCCCATCCCTAGTGCAGGCAGGGAGTCCCCCCTGCAGAGGTGCAGTGCAGGCAGAAGCAGAAAGGGTTTGGTTTCCTGAGAAATTGCTGGGCTGATCTGGAGAAGGAAGTGAGCCCCTCTGCATCTACCCAACAGCCTGGAGAAAGCTACTTGACCACAGGATGGAGCAGCACTGGAGCCAGGGACCTGTCACTCTGCCAGTTCCTGCCCCTGCTGAGCAGCCCAGCTGGAATCCCCACACCCCATTACCAGGGCCTCTTGTCACCACACTTGTAAACTGCCCATGGATGAACACACCTCCCTTCCCGTTAGTCCAGACTAGAAATGACTAGTGATTTTATGATTTTCAAGTAAACTCGGTGAAAAGGTAAACACACACGAACACCCCTGACCCCTAACCTCCTCAAACCTCACCCCTTTCTCTGCCCCCCACCCTGAAATACTTGCTTCCCACCTCCCATCCTCCACTTTTCCTTGATGAGCAGATCCTGCTTCATGTGTTTTCTTTTGTGAAGATTTTTTAATTTTCTGGAATTTTTTCTGTGAAGAGGGGAAACAAGGAAGAATAAATTTGGGAATAATGGGAGGTGTGCAAGTTCAATTCCCTTTTATTTGAGAACCAAATGGATCTAAACTGCCTGGAGGAGAGTTTCCACTGGGCTCCTCTGAAGCCCAAGGGCTCCGTGGGACAGGAGAGGGGCTTGGTGGAGGCCAACCAAAGCAGCTCCCTCCTGGATGCTAATACACCATGTTGACTAATCATTAGCCCCTGCTCTGGGAATGCCTCTCAGATTTCTACTTTATCAACTGTTCCTTGTGCAAGAACACAAAGTGTAAATCCTACCCTTAGGTCAAAACAACCTTGATTTTATCACACAAAGTACAGGCCATGATGTAGATAGTATTGGCACTTTTGCCTTTTCCTGGAAGGTCAACTTTAATTGTCCTGCACATTAACATGTATATGATTTTCTTATACTATATAAGCTCTATATCTGGGATATAACACCACGGCAATCTACCTGTCTTGTGGCTACACATGACCATGCTCCTGTTCATAAATACTCCAATAAATCACCCTCTACTGACAACCTCAATTTGCCTGCCTCTTTCTTTGGTTTCACGGCTCCTTCTGCATTTGGGCACCACTTTCCACGTATGGTCCTTTTACAGAACAATTGGTGAGGTACCCAGGACAAGTCCAGTAACCAAAGTATGGGCAAAAGGAAGAAGTATTGGAGTGGAAAATCTGGAGTGTTCCTCATCTATTTGGGGTGGTGGTGTCCAATTTGTCAGATGCCTGTGAACTACTAAGTTAGTACAAGGATGTCCTTAAAATGCCTGAGTACCCAGAGAACTACTTAGGAGAAAACTGCATTACCTCCTAGGGTAAGGAACGTCACCATGTGGCATCAGTGGTGGACTGCCCATCATGAGGAGCTTTGCAAGTGGCCGCAGAAGCATCATTAGCAGCTAAGGTGAAGGTACAAAAGCTAGATAAAAAAAATACAGTTAGAAAAGGGTATGAAAACTTCCACATCCATGTTAACAGTTAGCTTTGTGGATAACTTTGAAACTGAAGAGATGCAGTTGGACACTCTATCCTGCTGTTTTGTGCAGCTGGAAGGGCAGAAGCTGCTCCAGCTGAAAGTGTCAGCATGTGACAGTCCATCTATACTCAACAATATGAAGGGCAAGAAAATCACACAATTACTCTAATTGAATAGGCAACAAGTGAAAAGGACAGGATTCACATGGGGAGATTTTGCACACCGGAGACGTGACATTTGTGAGAAATAAATTTAATGTACAATACAGAAACTAAGCTTGCTTTAAGAATTTCTAAGGCCTAGTTTGCCACTAAATCATCAACTCTTCTGAAATTATCTGTTTTGATCCACTACTTCCATTTCCTTCTGAAGATAGGTACACACCCATGCATTTCTTCCTCTGTAGTTCTCTTACACAAAGTTTACTTTCAGTTTGACATATTTGTATATTGCATTCAATGTAAATCAAAACAACTTCTATGTGTTCATTGGCCCAGAAAAGAGCCATATGCGAAGAAATATATTTAGTAAAATTTTATGAATAGTGATTTAGAATGTAAAGGCATGGCTTTGAATTACAGTCCTATATTGTCTTTACTATAACCATCATTAATACCTCCATAGTTACAAAAAGGAGAAAAGGACACAAAATGCTAACTATGAAAACAGTATTGTGCAATTTATTGGAAGTTTAAGTCCTCAGGAATAAGAGATTACTAGAGAATTTATTCCAATGTGTTACCAAATAGTACATTATTTTCATCTATTAACCACAATCTTGGACATAATAAGATAGCTTAACATTAGTGGCAGGGTAATATTTCTTCATTCTATACCAGTGTTAAAACATTTAGTTTTATTAATCAAATTAATTAACCTAAGCAAATCAGGCTAAGTAAATCATTTTGCTCCCTGGTCAAAATACAGTCAGAAGCACTAAAGAAGCATTATATTTTGTCTAATATCGTGATCTTAGAGCAATGCTTTCTTCAATTTTAAAGACTAAGGCTAATTATTTAGTGCACATTGATTGGAATACATAGACAACCTTTCAGACAGGAGTTATCTTCACTTTCCTCTGATATCTGTGAAGATGTTTTTATTTATATCACATGAAACAGCATTCAAAATGTTTATGTCCTCTGTCACATCACATAATACTCAAGATTTCTATTTCATTCTACTATAAGTGAGAAACAAATTTAATGTAGAGATGTCAGTATTTTAACTAACTGGCCAGTTTTTTCCTACTTAAGTAGCAATTGACAAAATGATTTATTTTGAAAATTCATAATGTTTCTCTTAGTTTAATACAGAAGAAAAATGTCCTGAATCTATACCATGTGCTCACATATATCGTTGTATAATCCTAATTAAAAAAGCATCTTTCATTATATATTCTTAATGTATTTTGCATTTGTCATAGAGCTTTCATGGAAAAATTGATACTAACCATAGTCACCTAATATTGAATCACTTCTCATAGCTCTGATGCAGAAAGAACAGCCCACATATTTTCATATAAACATGAGGGATTAAGGCATAGCAGCAACTAATTTGAGAATTGAATTACATCAATAATATCTGCTTTTGAAGAATTTCAAACACTGTCAACATAAAGTACCAATGAAATATAATTATACCTGTCCAAACGTCAATGTTCTTGTTCTTTTGAAAAATGTGATCAGATAAATTATCTAATTGCTTTGGCTTTGCATTATTCTCTACAATATTCTAGCTTAATGTAAAATCTGAAAGTGTGCTTTAGTTTTTACTTGAGTGAATCCTCTGATGCACTTAGACTTAAATTTTGGTTAAATACTTCCCCATGTTTATTGCACCTGTAAAGTTTCTTTGCCCATGAATGCTCTGGTAATTTAAAAGTTGTATATTTTATATAAAACTCTTTTCACGGCCGGGCGTGGTGGCTCACGCCTGTAATCCTAGCTCTCTGGGAGGCCGAGGCGGGCGATTGTTTGAGCTCAGGAGTTCGAGACCAGCCTGAGCAAGAGCGAGACCCCGTCTCTACTAAAAATTAGAAAGAAATTAATTGGACAACTAAAAATACATAGAAAAAATTAGCTGGGCATGATGGCACATGCCTGTAGTCCCAGCTACTCGGGAGGCAGAGGCAGAAGGATCGCTCGAGCCCAGGAGTTTGAGGTTGCTGTGAGCTAGGATGATGCCATGGCACTCTAGCCCGGGCAACACAGTGAGACTCTGTCTCAAAAAAATAAAAAAAACTCTTTTCACATGTATTACATCTATAGGGTTTCTGTAGTATGAATTATCTGATGTTGAGTAAGGTGTGAAATACAGGTAAAAGCTTTGCCACATTCTTCACATTTGTAGGGTTTCTCTCCAGTATGAGTTCTCTGATGTTGTCCGAGGCTTGCAGACTGGGTAAAGGACATGCCACATTCTTGACATTTGAAGGGTTTCTCTCCAGTGTGAATTCTCTGATGTTGAGTAAGGGGTGAAGTACGGCTAAAAGCTTTGCCACATTCTTCACATTTGTAGGGTTTCTCTCCAGTATGAATTACCTGATGTTGTCTGAGGCTTGCCGACTGGGTAAAGGACATGCCACATTCTTCACATTTGAAGGGTTTTTCTCCAGTATGAATTCTCTGATGTCGCGTAAGGAATGAAAAGTAAGTAAAGGACGCACCACATTCTTTACATTTGTAGGGTTTCTCTCCAGTATGAATTTTATGATGTTCACTAAGGTGTGAAGTACGGCTAAATGCTTTGCCACATTCTTCACATTTGTAGGGTTTCTCTCCAGTATGAATTACCTGATGTTGTCTGAGGCTTGCCGACTGGGTAAAGGACATGCCACATTCTTCACATTTGAAGGGTTTTTCTCCAGTATGAATTCTTTGATGTCGTGTAAGGATTGAAAAGTAAGTAAAGGACACACCACATTCTTTACATTTGTAGGGTTTTTCTCCAGTATGAATTTTATGATGTTCACTAAGGTGTGAACTACGGTTAAAGGCTTTGCCACATTCTTTACATTTGTGGGGTTTCACTCCAGTATGAGATACCTGATGGTGTTTAAGGCTTGAAGACTGGGTAAAGCATATACCACATTCTTCACATTTGTAGGGTTTTTCTCCGGTATGAATTCTCTGATGTTGAGTAAGGCGTGAACTTCGGTGAAAGGCTTTGCCACATTCTTTACACTGGTGGGCTTTCACTCCAGCATGAATTCTCTGATGTTGTCTGAGGCTTGATGACTGGGTAAAGAATATGCCACATTCCTCACATTTGTAGGGTTTTTCTCCAGTATGAATTCTCTGATGTTGTCTAAGGTTTGAAAACTGAGTAAAGGAAAAACCACATTCTTGACATTTGTAGGGTTTCTCTCCAGTATGAATTCTCTGATGTTGAATAAGGCGTGAATTACGGTTAAAGGCTTTCCCACATTCGTTACATTTGTGAGGTTTCACTCCACTATGAATTCCCTGATGTTGTCTGAGGCTTGCCAACTGGGAAAAGGACATGGCACATTCTTCACATTTGTAGGGTTTTTCTCCAGTATGAATTCTCTGATGTTGTCTAAGGACTGAAAACTGAGTAAAAGATATGTCACATTCTTTACATTTGTAGGGTTTCTCTCCGGTATGAATTCTCTGATGTTGAGTAAGATGTGAACTACGGTTAAAGGTTTTACCACATTCTTTACATTGGTAGGGTTTCTCTCCAGTATGAATTCTCTGATGTTGAGTAAGGTGTGAATTACAAGTAAAGACTTTGCCACATTCTTTACATTTATAGGGTTTCTCTCCCGTATGAATTCTCTGATGTTCAGTAAGGCGTGACCTATGGTTAAAGGCTTTGCCACATTCTTTACATTTGTGGGATTTCTCTTTGGTATGAATTCTCTGATGTTGAGTAAGGCGTGAACAACGCTTGAAGGTTTTGCCACATTCATTACATTTATAGAGTTTATACCTGTATGGGTTTTCTCCAATATTAATTCCCTGATGTTGAGAATGTTTCCCTGACTCAGTTAAAGCTTCTACACATTCACTATATTTGCAGGAATACTCTTGAACACAGATATTTTCATGGCTAAAAAGTTTTAAACATTGATGAAAGACTTTCTCACATTTTTTAGATTTGTACTGGATCTCTGGATAATGAACTTTCTGATATTTTCTACAGTATGAGTCTTGGTTCAAGGTCTTTTCAGGTTTATTGCATTGATAATTTTTCTCATCAATGTCAATATCCTGGTAATTATTTAGGGTAGAATCCTCGATAAAGGACATCAAAGCTTTATTGGATATGTAATATTTTTCCCAATTATCTATTCTTTGAAATTGATTAAGCAATGATGACTGAGTACATACCTTATCATACTGATCACATTTGTAGATTTTGGCACAAGATGGTATTATTTTTTGGTGGAAGCATAATAAAGTTTTAACAAAGGACCCATAAAATTGATCACATTTAGAATTATTGTCTTCCTTCTTAAATCTCTGAGCTTCAGAAATATCTGGCTGAACACTTAATGCAATTCTATTACCAAAGTCCTGGGTTTCTTTGGGGCTTTTCAAAGACTTCTTATTGCTTCTTTTAATATGGAGTGCTAAAAAGAAATGCAGATAGAGTTTAAAGAGATGTTGAGTCAAGTGAGAACAAAGATGAATAACTATTACAGCAACAGAGAGACTGCAGAATATATAAAATTGATCACAGAAGGTCTTTACCTTAATGTAGATTAAGGGCTCTTAAGAAGACACAGGCAAACCTTTTTAATGGGAAAAATCACAGAGTACTCAAAAGAAGACACATTCTGCCAACAGTTTGAAGAAGTGCCCAGAATGTCTGCTGTGGCTGTGTGGTACCAAATTTGCCCTGGTCAAAGCCATTCCATAAAGGATGGAACAGGTAAGTGTTTTTAAATGACTAAAATTCCAACAAAAATCACAAGACATCAAAAAAAAAAAAAAACGAGGAAATAAAGTCCAATAAAAAGACAAAAATATTCATGCAATCCTAAGAAGTGAATATCTATGAAGTAATTTAAAAAGAATTTAAAATATCTATCTTAAAGATGCTCAATCAGGTAAATAAGAACACAGACAAAAAAAATAAAAGGAGGAAAACAATGCAAAAAGAAATCGAGATTACTGTCTGGGCACGGTGGCTCATGCCTGTAATCCTAGCATTCTGGGAGGCCGAGGAAGAAGGATTGCTTAAAGTGAGGAGTTCGAGACCAACCTGAGCAAGAGCAAGACACTGTCTCTACTAAAAATAGAAAAAATTTAGCTGGGTATGGTGGCACACACCTATAGTCCCCGTTACTCAGGAGGCTGAGACAGGAGGATTGCTTTAGCCCAGCAGTTTGAGGTTGCTGTGAGCTAGGCTGACACCACGGCACTCTAGCCTAGTGGCACTCTTGCAACAGAGCAAGACTCTGTCTAAAAAACAAAAGAAGTAAACCTAGCATTCTGGGAGGCC